GTGTTATACCATCCCTGTCCTGCTGAACTCTTTGTTCATGCTTGAGTGAAGTGACTTTTTGTTTTTTGTTTATGGGGTGAAGACATTTGAATTAACGATTTTAGGAGCGTTCACCCCAAAATGAAAATTGTGTCATCATTTAGCCGTAGCCATTGTCTTCCTTAGTAGAAACAAAAAACTTTGGAAGTCAATGGGGACAGCAACTGTTTGGTTACCTACACTCTTCAAAATATTGTCTGTTGTGTTAAACAGAAGAAAGAAACTCGTACAGGTTTGGAACAACATGAGGGTGAGTAAATGATGACAGAATTTTCATTTTTGGGTGAAATTTTAAAATCTGTTTGAAAATATATAGTCATATTTAAAAAATGCGATGTTTAAAGTAAAAAAAAAAAAGTAAAATCAACAGTTTTACTAATGTTTGTGTGTGATTTGAAGTTTATGCTTGTTGTAATGTCGAACACTGTTGTAGTAAACTAGCAGTTACAGTAAGGCTCTTACCATGAAAGTGAGGCATGATAATAAACCTTAAAATATACACCACTTTGAAAAGATTTTCACTAAACTGAAACTTCATACTTCAGCATGAGACTAGTGTGATACAATTGCTCAATCCGAAATTATTTCCAGATTAGGGCTGTCACAATATCAGATTTTCACTACACATTTCTTTTGTTTAAAATAATTTACAGTAACTATATTGTTATATCTATTGAAATTTTTTGGGGGAAAAAGTTAATCTATCAAATTCATTTCTAACTTTTTTGTTTGTTTTGTGACTGATAAATCAAACAAAAACAAAAAAAGATCATTTTCATTTTAGCTTATAGGTTTTAGTAATTTTGTGCTTTTGCCATTTATTTGTTTTTTATATTTATTTACTTTTAATTTATATTTCAGTTTTATGTAGTAATTTTAGTACTTCAACTCAAACATTTTATTTATTTTTATTTTATCCCAGCTTTATTTAAATTAATAAATGATTACTTGTGAATACTTAAATACTTGTGGTTAACAATAAAAAAAACTGCATCGTTGTCTTTTTTGTTTTTTTCGTGTGTGTTGGAGTGGCAACTAGCTGTGTTATTTGCGCGATACTACTATCATATGTAGTCCTAACATATCAATATTTAATTTTTTAAACATCACGATTATTGTCAATACCGGTATATTGTGACACCTCTATTCCAAATAATGCTCAAAAATGCTGTTGATTGAGGTTGACATCTAATTAATCCAAAACATTCCTTGAAAAAAAGACTAAATGTTGTATTCTCGGGTTTATAGCAAGCAACTAAATAAATAAATAATTTGTGCATGAAACGTATTACCCAAACCAAATGTTTGTTCTAACAATAGTTTAAAAGAAAGTCAAAAAGTGTGTGTACATGCCTCTTATTACACAAGTGCATGACTGTGGTGTACTCTGTATGTGTCTGACTTCTTGTTCCTCTGCTGCAGAGTGTGATGCCCTCTTCTCAGGACGACCTGTCTAAAGACAAGCCCCGGCCTCTGTCCAGCATCTCACGGCAACAGAGGAGTAAGACCCACATCACCCGCACTGCCTCAGGTGGGTGCCGCTCCTTATACACGCAGACAAGCTGATACACACCTAAAATTGTCTAAATGCCTGAAATGTATACATTATTTAAAGGAGGAGGAGATTTTGGAGGAGCAGGGTCATCTCGCAGTATTTCTGATCAAGATCAAGACTTTGAGAGAGAGGTAAAAACATCTATCATCTACCTTAATGACCTCCCCCGGGATGCCAAATATGGTTTTATTTCATTCGCCCCACATTTTGAAAGCTTCTCGAGATACATGATGGATGGTTAAAGGAGCTTTGAGGTGCTTTTGGCCGTTTTCTTGTGTCCTGATTTTGTGATCTGTAATAACTGCCCCAGTTCTCACAGTAAAACCTGCTACAGCTGTAAACTAGTGTTATTTTAGTTGTATAAAATTATTCTTTTAGTATTTCATAGTATATTATATCATTTATTATTATTTATCGATTATTTCAGTTTTAATTTTAATATAAGATTTATTAATTGTATGTTCTTATTGTTTTGTTTTTTTCCTGTTTAGCTGTCATTCGTTTTTAATTTAGTATTATGTATATACTATTATAGTATTTTGAATTCGCTTTCTTTTTTCATTTGAAGTTTCGTATAAGAGTTGGTAACTTTGTGTTAATTGTTTTTTATTTTTCTATTTAGCTTTAATTTATTTATATGATATTATAGTATGTATTAATATTTTGAATTAGCTTTTCTTTGTGTTTTTTAGTATTCATTTTTATTTACAAAGTAAATTTATTGCTTTTCTCCCCAATATTTAAATTTAAATGTTTTTATTTCAGTTTTAGTAATATTAATACTTAAACGTAATTGTAGTTTGAAATTTAGTAATTTTATGTGCTTTTCTAATTTTTTTGTTTGTTTTTTCCTCAATATTCAGCTTTACTATTTATCTTTATTTCTATTGATGTAATCTTAATACTTTAACAATTTTAAAGATTTAATACATTTCTTGTTTTAATTCTATTTTTGTTTAGTAATCATAATACTTCAACTTGAACTTAATTCAGTTTTTCAATAATATTTACATTTTATTTCAGCTTTATTTCAGATGCAGAAAGCATTTTAGTTAACAATAATAATACTGCTGTAAACACTCACTTCGGCCTAAATGCATGTATACTGTGCAAAAATTTAAAAACCAACTAGACAACAAGCAACTGATCTGTTAATTGTTTCTTTAGCCCTGTTTTTTTTTTGTTTTGTTTTTATCCTTGCAGCCCGACTCTGACTCAACCAAACATTCCACCCCCTCCAACAGCTCCAACCCCAGCAGCCCCCCGAGCCCCAACTCTCCCCACCGCAGTCAGCTCACTCTGGACAGCCTGGATCAATCCCTGGACGGCTGAAAACGGACAGCTCCCTTTTTTTCACCCAGCGCACACCCTAGACACGCCCTCCCATATCCATCCGCTCTACTAGGACTCACTAAGAAGTGCCAAGACTCTTACAAAAAGTCACCTGCTCATCCACAACAAGGGCCAAAGGTTTACCCCAAATCCTGCTGCTGGGTAGACGCCTCCATCTCCACAAGAGCAGCGTGCTGGGTGTGTGCTGACAGGCACGGGCGAAGCCACCAAAAGAAAGAAAAAACATAAAAGCCTGCCCCCTGGTGGAAATGTCATGGTATTACACTAACTGGGTCAGATTAGCAGTATGATGGATTTTTATTTTATTTTAAATCTGAATATCATGCCATGCTCCTGCAAGTTTTTTTTATTAAAAAAAAAAATTATTATTTACTTTAGTAAATGAACATGCATTACATCTGCTGTGTCAGAATTGCTTCTGGATTCTTAGCTTCCCTTCAAAGTACCGAATTGATGGGAAAGGAGACTTCTTATGCTGTTTTTAAATGTATATTATCAGGAACACTCACCAAGGGGGCCGAAGAGAGGAGCGTATCGGGAAGAAAGAAACTGAGGACGATATAGAACTGTGACATTCTTGGACCAGTAACATGATTCGTCCCGGACCGGTGAAAACGTCTCATATGAGCAATAAATCGGTGACAAGAGACTTCGGGGGTTTAAAGCCAAACCAGAGGGCACTTTTATTATGTAATTTCTCTTTCTCTCTCAAGTTCTGCATTTAAACCAGCTTTTATAATATTCATATTTTAACTTAGGTGTTTCCCACAAAGATATCTAGTTCAGCTTATAACAAAAAAGAAAGCAACAAAAAGGAAGACTTTACATAGATAAGTGTTTTAATAAAAATACAAAGGAGAACGGCACACAGCTACTATTCATAGGATTTCAGTAGTTCCTCTTAAGCTGCTACTGCTGCTTTGTGTGCTCTTATTTAAAAATGAAAGTTAAAAAAATATATATGTGATAAGGTTATCTCACCATAGCCATGCTCTGATTCTGGTTTATGATGTTTGATATCAGGACGCTGATATGAGTTTGTTTGTTGACATGCTTAAGATCCGCAGGCATATCCATTATCACTCGAGTGTGTTTTCAGTGCCAACTTTAGTTTCCGTAATAAACTGTCCGTTAAAGCATTTCAGTGGTTTTGACGAGGCTGACGGTATTATGTTTTCCCCCCGCCCTTCTGAAACACTGTAAGACACTTGCACACGTTTGTTTAGTCTAAGGATATGATTTTGTGTGAATGGTTTTTCCTGTACCTCCTTTTTCTCCCCCATACTTCACTTGTCCGCTTCATCAGATGGAAGTTTATCCTCGGAACACTACTGCTTTTACTTTAAAAGAAAAAAAGAATCACAGGTTGAAATCTTTGTAATTATTGACTTGTTAGCCACATAAATTTGAACAAACAATAAAAGAGTACCTGTCGTGCTTTTTTGTTGAATTTGTGCGGTTTGGGAAAATGCTGCTCTTACTCATTTGTATCTACATGGAAAGAATTTTTTGCCATTTTGAGTCAAAATTAACACACACACACATATATTAACGTTGTACACTTCTTATGGGAATAACTACTGAAAATACTGACACTTAAGGGTAAATACCTGTGTTTTTAAAATGTATTTCCTTTTGGCAGTTTGGGTTTTTTAAATTTTTTATTAGATTTAAGTGGTCTGAACAGTTTCTAAGAATTTCATAAACCTTCAAGTTCAGTTACATTTTTGGACAGTTTCTATTTTAAATGTAAGTAATTTGTGTAAGTAATCATTTGAGAATGAATAAGAGTCACTGATTACCTTTTTTTTTTTTTAAACAAAAACTAATTTTTATCTCTTAATGGGTGCAAAACACTGCTTCTGGCTGTTTATTTTCTAACCGATATCAGTTTATAATTGGTCAAGAATTGGAGTATATTATTTGATGCATTGGTATGACTTTAATTGCAATTACGAAATCTTTGGGATGACACTGTATTTCACTAGTTAATTACCAACATACAATACAATACTTTATTAAGATTAGATTTGAATATACAAAATATAATAGAGACAGATGCAGAGGCTGGGAAATGATGCGCCGCCTAATAACGTGTAAAGAACGATATATTTAAAATTATATAAATATTAAATTAAAAAGAAAGTATAACGATTTCGTTTTAAAGTCAGCATGAATTACTGACAGAAAAATAGGCAACAATAATACCTGAAAACAGGTGTGTAATGTAAAAGACAATATTTGTTCAAAAAGTTGCGTTTTTACATTAGTTTTTAAATTTTTATTATCATATAGCTAATTCGCTTTTGACTAATTTGTAATACATACTATATAACATATCTAAAATACAGCAGGAAAGAACGTCACCGTTTGCAGGGCTTTTATTTTGGCGACGTGTTAAAAACAGGAAGTAGTGGGAAAGAAATCTGACGTTTCATGAGTCGGTTTTCACTGTAATATTTCCAAGGTAAGTGTTATATCGTTGTTATAAAATCATATTGTTTATTTTTGTCATGGTCCAAGCAGCAAAATAATATCGATGCATATGAAATAGATACTTCTTACAAATGACAATCTTAGCGAATCTCAAATGCCATAGTGGCGGTTTAAGATGACAGCAGCATATTGCTAAATAAAGATTCACCTGAATGGAGTGACACGTTCACTAGGATGTGTCCTGTAGCTGAGGGCTTCTGGCACAGATCAGATGAATCACATTAAGGGACCTGCAGCCCCACTGCTTGCTTCGAGTCTACATTGTGTATGTTTTTCAGATGTCACGGGCCAAACCAGAGGATGATGAGTACTGGAACAGCTCCAAATTTAAAGCGTTCACATTTGACGATGATGACGATGAGTTTTCACGGGTAAGTTCATTGTGTTTCTATTGAACTCTATGCAGTCCAACGCCCGTTTACCTCAGCAGTATGACAGTGGAGAATAACTGCACTTTATGGTCCATTCAGTCCTAAAACCATATTATGTGGTTAAATATTATGAAGACAACGTCTTCTTCCCGAAATTTAATAGTTTTTTGTTGGAACGGATCCAAAGCAAAATATTAGCTTTTCATATTTAATTAACTATATAATTTGTATTAGAACATGAGGGACGTTTTTTTCAAATCAGGTCAGTTGTTTTGTATGTTTTTAAGTGGCAGCTTTACAGAAAATAGTAAATTAAAGGAATTAAATTAAACTGGCTAAATTAAAGGAGACATTGGCAAAGAAAAACTCTTTAGAAAGATACAACACATAGGCCTGTTTTTAAACATTATTTATGTACATAGTAAGAAAGGAAATATTAGAAACCTATTGTTAGTCAATATTCTTTGCACAACATTTATTGTATATATACAGTATCTCACAGAAGTGAGTACACCCCTCACATTTTTGTAAATATTTTATATATTTTCATGTGACAACACTGAAGAAATGACACTTTGCTACAATGTAAAGTAGTGAGTGTACAGCTTGTATAACAGTGTAAATTTGCTGTCCCCTCAAAATAACTCAACACACAGCCATTAATGTCTAAACCGCTGGCCACAAAAGTGAGTACACCCCTAAGTGAAAATGAATGTGAGGGGTGTACTCACTTCTGTGAGATACTGTATATCTCACATTGTCCGCACATTTTCTCTAGAACCACTGTGTGGCCCTCAGTTTAAAAAGCTCTGATTTAGACAACATTGTGTTGTTATTTCCCAGCTGAAAGAGTCCAAGCGGGCCGTGAACAGCATCCTGGTGGATGATGATGAGGATGAGGATGATGTTGAGAGAGTCAGCTGGAGTGGGGAACCTGTGGGAAGTATGCAGTCCTTTCCCTACTCTCTTACTGTCTTTACTGTCTGTCTTTCATCTGGATGCTCATCAGTTTTTGTTTGTGGGTAGGCATCTCTTGGTCGGTGAAGGAAACCGCCTCCAGTATCCGCTCAGGCAGCGAGCAGAGCTTTCCCAAAATAGACACCACTCCGTCACTGTCCAAACAGGGGTCTGGATACTCCCTGAGCTCCCTGTTTAAAGGTAATCTATAGTGAAGAGTTCTTGTACGTTTTAGTTCAATCATTTTAGACTCACCAATCTGACTCCTTTTATATTCCTTCAGCAAAGAGTAAACCTTTCCAGTCCTTCTCCGAGTGTAAGTTCAAGTCATTGAAGTATTTAGAATGATTTAAGCCTATTTCTCATTTGTTTGAATTAAGTGTGTTTGTTCACTCTTTTCTAGCTTTTAGCGACACATCTGTTAGAACATACGCACCTGTGTTGAGAAAGCCCAAGTCAGATGGAAAGGTAACACATATGGACATGTTTGTTTACACCATTGTTAAAACATTTGGGGTTAAGATTTTTAATGTTGAAGAAAGACGGAGAACACCAGCCTGTGGAGCGCTAGTGAAACTCGTACACTTACTTTAATTTGTAAAATGTCCCGTGACTGAAAATGTTTTCAGAAGACTTATGCTTTCTGCAGACTTATTTACCTCGTAACACTAGCTTGCTCTATTCTTTTTCTATTCCATCTGTTTTCTTTTTATTTATTATATAATTTAAACAACAACAAAAAAAACCTTGCGTACTGCGTTAGGCTAACTGAGACTTGTCATAGCACTTCATTGCTCATATCATTGCTCTTTTGTTGATTTTGATTGCTTCCATTGTCCTCATTTGCTAAATGACTAAATGTAAATGTTTTTGTTCTTCAAAGCTTCATTTATTTGAGCAAAAATACAGTAAAATAGTAATATTTTGAAGTATTTTTACAATTTAAAATGACTGTTTTGTATGTGAATATATTAAAAAATATGATTTATTCCTGCTATGACAAAGCTGAATTTTAAAGGGGTCATATGATGTGATTTAATTTTTTCCTTTCTCTTTGGAGTGTTACAAGCTCTTGGTGCATAAAGAAGATCTGTAAAGTTACAAAGACTAAAGTCTCAAATCCAAAGAGATATATATTCTTTATAAAAGTTAAGAGTCAACCACGCCTACCATGTACAGTATGTGGAAAATAATGTTTTTTGAACCTTATACCGCATAAACGCATTGCATTACACCAAATACACAAAATAATGTTCGTTTTAGCAACGTCGTATGACCCCTTTAAGCATCATTACTCCAGTCTTCAGTGTCACATGATCCTTCAAATCAGTCTAATGTGCTGATTTGATAGGAACATTTCTTATTATCAATGTTAAAAACAGTGTGCCGCGTAATTTTTTTTTTTTTTTTTCAGAATGCTTTGATGTATAGAATGTTCAAAAGAACAGCATTTATTTGAAAATATAACATTCTACAATTCTTTACTTTCACTTTGATCAGTTTAATGCATCCTTGCTGAATTAAAGTATTATTTTCTCCCAGAAAAATTAACTTACTGAGCCCAGACTTTTGAAGGGTAGTGTATGTTTGGCCAAAAGTTTCCACTGTGTAATTTTTATTTTTTTTATTTGTTTTCTAAATGCCATAGGATTTTGTCAGTGACCTGAGTCCTGAGGAAACCGTGAGGAGAATGCAGAAAGGACGGGTAGGGGCAGCAACGAGCTTTATATAGAAAGTACTGTATTTTTACTGATAAATACTAGATATACAAGACTAGAAAGTCAGTGTAAAGGTGAAGTCAGGAGATCTGATATAGCAGAATAAAGCCATTTATTTATTTCTCAATAGCAGTAGGTGCAGGCCCCTTTCTTTCCATTTTACATTTTTTAAATATATGCTGTCATATAACAAAATATTAGTCACATGTTTTTATGTTGCTTACAATAAGGATTTCGTCAGAATATATAGCTACATTTGAATGGCTGTAAATGGGAAAATATGCTTTTCTCATCTAATTAAAATTATTATTTTACAGGAATTTTCCCTAGAAAAGTTCCGCTCTCTGCAAGACAAACTTCTGCTGCTAGATGAAGCAGTTGCTGTTTATGATGGCAACCTCATCACTGCTGTGAGCCGCACATCTCTCACATACCCTATATGGAAGCACTGCTATGTCTCTATGATGATTTATATCAGTAGGAACAGCTTGTGCTTATTAACTGATCTTTTACATTTTTCTACTGCAGGTTTTGATATATTTAAACAAGTCATTAAGTAAAGGTGAGATGTATTGTGATCTGTCATTGCTCACCAGTTCCTTCTCTTTTTTTTTTCAAAATAAGTTAAATATTTTCTAGAAAGTCTTTTTTTTTTTTTTGTAATTTTTGCAGAAATCCTCTTTCGAGAGTTAATGGCGAGAGATGTGGCTTTGCGTCATTACGTTCATTATTTAAAAGAAATGGGAGAACAAAAGCTTTTGGTTGAGTTACTGAAGTAAGTTTGCTGTTTATATATACAACTTCCTCTCTTAGTGAGAAACATGTTAAAAATAGTTGTCTACAGTGTTTTTGTGCGAGGGCGGTTGGCATCTCTCCATATATTAGCATTGCTTATTTGATTTGAAGAG